AGCTGCTATTTGGCTCACTCACTTTCTAGTTCTTGAACCAAAGTAAGCAGTATGTCCTACCAGAATCTCAAGCTTTGGAAAAACATATCGGTTTTCATGAACTCTGAGACCAAGAGTTCTCTGCTGATTCAAGTTTCAGTGAGATTTTTCCCTGAGAAAATATAACAGAACTGCCTTACAATGCCCAGAAACAGCTGCCTCTTACATAGTTGGTCTTTTTTGACCACAGTTAATTTTTTCTTGGAAGAAAAAAAACGTGTGAACATTATATATGAAACAAACATATGTATTCACCTAGAAGCATCATCTAACTATATTACTCACAAACATTACTGTTGTGCAAAGCATATCACATTTATCCCCTCAAGGATGTGGTTCTGGCACAGTTTGCATCACCAGGAAAGCACATCTGTATGTGGTAATGAGATTTATTGTGCAGGGAAAGTCCAGGAGTGCCTAAAACCAATTTAGTATATAAACCTTAACTACTTGGGTTATCATGGAATTGACACAGGTGTAAGGACAGGTTTTTTTTCTACCACCCACCCAGCTGTGTTGTTTGCTACTGCACTAAATACTCAGGCTGCTCATGAAGCATCTCAGCAGACCTCTGGGGAAATGATAGTAATCTGAAAGGCATGAATCTCTTTCTGGATAATGGAAAATCAGCTAGGAACAAGAAAGCAAGCCTGCTAATGCCAAAAGATAAGCTGCAAGCATGTTCCTTGTCTGAAGACAGGTACAGCTTGCTTTTCTTCAAGTTATGATTTCCAGTGTTCAGTAATCTCAGAGGTACTGAGTTGTTTTATATTGCTTTTGCACTGATAGTATACCATTTCTGCCTTGAAATGAGATTTGTAAAATGCAAAAAGGCAGCAGTGGAGAAATGATATCAAAACATGTTACTATGTTTTTCTTATTTCCAAAAACTGAGTAACATTTACATTACAGGCAAGGAAGCCAAAAGAGGCAACAAAGTAGAAATGAGAGATGGAAACAGCAAATATGTAGAAAATTTAGAAACACAGAAGTTTATCCTAATGTTTACCCATATTCTAATGCTTCAAGAAGACTGAACACTTTGACACAAGTTGAACAGTCTTTGCCAGCCAGACTGTTTGATCTTGTGTTGGCCCTGTGACAAAGCCAGTCTGTACAGGAACACTGGCATTGTTTTCTGATCAAAGTGAGCCCTAATGGTATTAAACCTGAGTTGTGGTCTGACATGCTTTCACTTCTCCACTTTGCAACCAGCTTTTTCTAGAGCCATTGCAGTATGATATTCTGATAGCTTAAAGCATGGTCAGACTTTTATTTCAGATAATAAGAATTGATTTTCATATATATTCTGCTATGTTTGGTAAGGAGACAGGAGGCTGTGCATGTACAGAAAAGGTTGCTTTTAGGGTATGGTGATATTCAGTTTCTGTTGGCTCCAATGATATTGTAAGAGAAATATGAAGCAGGAGATCTTTAACAACTTTTGATTAAACTCTCATGCAGCATAATAGTTAAATATGTCTTTAAAACTAAACGTGTTTATGTTCCTTTTATAAAAGACAGACATGAAGCAACTCTGACTATAGCATAATATGAGTGGGTTACCCCAGTAACACATGCAGCATCCTGCACAGGATGAGATGCTGCTCATTTTTGTTGTTCCATCACCTTATACTTGTCTTTGCTTTCACACATAGTAAAACGGTCTTATAATGTCAAATAAAAGTAAAACTGATTAGATATTATGAAATCAAACATCAGATGCTCAGAAAACATAGCTCCATTGATAGCAACTGAAGCATAATAGATTTAAGCAACTTCATAATTCAAATCTCAGTCTGCTAGTGCTAGCTTCTCTGCTCAGATGTGGCACAACCCATCAAAGAGCTCTTTACAGAGCACTTACCGAAAGAGTTAAGAGTTTATTTACTGCTGTCACAGAATCACAGGATATGCTGAGTTGGAAGGGACCCACAAGGACCATCGAGTCCAACTCTTAGCGCTGCACAGGACCATCCCTAAAGAGTCTGTTGCTTCACAAACTCACATTGTCTACTGCAATCACTGTTACTGCTGCAATTCAAATTTCTCTTTTGTTGACTTTGTTTGCAATTATATTTTACACCAATCAGAGCGAACATCAGAAAATGCAACATTAAATGATGCTACAGGCTGGATATTAACTCCTGTAGTCACATATATCACCTGCCTTTAAATCATTTGGTGTAGTCTAACACTGTCTCCTTGGAAGCAAGGAAGTCAAGCAGACTCTTCTTATAATTTTTGAGTACATGTCATTAGTTTAAAATGATGTAGCCTTAGTAGATATTCCATCTTCACTTTATAGCACAATTGACCTGACCTAAGTCGGTGAAGACATATTCCTGTCAAAGCTGTAGCAGATATCAGGGATGGATGGGAAGACTTAGTAGAAAACAACTTTTAGATCTTTGTACAGAAGAACGCAAACTGAATTTATTATGAAATTCTGAAATGTCCAAACACATTTTACTGCCTTCTGGTTTGCAGACGGGTCCACATCTAGATCAGAATACCACCAAAAATGCTGTTTTTTTTCCTGCTGCAATCAGAAGCAGCTGTAACAAAAAGCTATAGAAAAGTCTGATTCTTAGAAAATGCCTGTCTCTGTTTTTCAAAAAAAGAAAAGTTTAGATAATTAAACTCTTCTGGGGTGTCCAAACATTTAGAATTGCATTAGGACACACATTTCAAACTCTTGGAAGCATATCCTTCACTAGCTGTTTGCTCCTAATGAAGGAAGTAGAGTACTCCAGTGCATAAAATCCAAGAGACAGGATTCTAGTTTAGCCCAGCTCTAATTAAAAAAGGTGAGTTTGACAGTATCACTGGAATTCTCTGCTGCTCAGTTTTGCCACTGATCTAGGGAATGCTTCTAAAGCAATATTTTGGAGCAGCCTTACTATTATTATTCTTTTATTACCTGCAAACATGTGCAGTGATGAATTTACTATTTTTGGAGACAAATTGCATTTAGCATCTCACTGAATTCTATTCAAAATCCAATAACTGATCAGCATTTTGGGGTTAAATCAGCAAGGTGTCAAGAACTCCTAGGACTAGCTGACTTGGAAATTTGAACATATACAGTAATTTCAGAAGCTGTACAGCACCTTGCAAGATCAAGACCATAAGGATTTTTTTAGCATTTGCTCTTCCATTGTAAATCTACTGTCTGCCTTTCCAACCTGGCTTTACAGTCCTTGTATTCAGCAGGTTTACACAACCACCTCCACACAACCTATTCAAAACACTCGCCCATATCAAGCTCACCACATGGAAATACACATGTAGGTGCTCATGCATGAACCGTGCAGTGAAGAACAGGAAAATGGAGCTGCTGCTAAAGTTTTATTTTTATCTGACTTTATATAAAATTTTAAAAATAGGACAAGATTATAATTTAACCAAAGAATAACATCATTAAGATTAGTTCCCAGTATCCTGAAAGAGTGGATAATATCTAAATTAATAAATATAAATAAGTGAAGAAATAAGTGAAGATGAATACTAAGTTGGGCTTGTATGGAAGTTGACTGAGACTTACAGCAATCCTGATTCATAATAAAAATGATTTATTTAAAGATTTATTATGAACATTGCAGGAAAGGTGATAACAGACATGCACCACTTTGTTTAAAGTAAAATTTCCTGTAAATTAAAGAGTTCTTATTATCTGTTTGGTTTTGATTTGGTATTGTACCAAGTATCTGTTTATAAAAGGAAATGTGATGGTACAAAGTGTACAAGGTGAATTGCAAAAGAGATTAAAAGTCAAGGTGAATTTGTTTTAAATTAAGTCCTAGCAACATAGACACTGTAGATCCCATTAGGGTAAGGAAAGTCAGTGTAAGGCAGATTTTTCATGCACCATTACTAAGAGCTGAACTGCCTGAAATTCAGGCCAGAAAGCTACTCTCCAAACTGAGACTGGGGTTACATGGGTCACTCTCAGCGTCAGAGGATAACCTTAACAATATGACATGCTTGAACTTCCCTGATCTGTGTGCTGAACTGCAATGACCTCAACTCCAAGAGTCAAGCTCTCAGAATACTTCTATCTGTACATTTCTGAGGAATTTCAGCTACTGGTGATGTTGATCAGACCTGAGGACCTGCGGTTACAGTGAAACAAGAGGAGATCCTGAAAGACCTAAGACGGTTTTGTTTCACTGAGGTGCCAGGGCACACAGTAATGGTCTTAGAGACACATCAGTGAGAAAAAGCCTGAACCAGTTTTAAAAAGAGAATCAGGTGATTGAGAGATAAGACAGGAAAAAATGTTGCAGAGCACTACAAAGGAAAAATTTTATATAAAGTAGGCACTGTGTTTCAAAGGGATTATACGGTAAGGATTTTTCCATTTTTGCAGAGCTTTTTTGCTTATAATACTGCCTAAATAGCTTATTAAAGAATTTTTCTGAAGTCACATTTATGTGACAAAGTATGTTGCAATCTCAAGTCACCCCATCCCACAGAAAGTTTTCTGGGGGGAGTCTCGGATGAATATAATGTATTTGCAGTTGAACAGGAATAATGAAAACACACATTATATATTTCATTAGAAAACTAGAAAAGAACCTGTTTCATAGAAGCAATTCCCTTGGTTGAATTAGCCCTGGAACTACCCTGGCATCTCTAGAGATTGGACTTTGTAGGTCTCCAAATCCTCCGCCCAAGGAAAGAAAATGTGGATGGAAGTGCTGGATCTGGGTCATAGCAATTCTCTTTGTACATATAACAAAACATTTACATGGAGTATAAAATTGTGAAAATATTGACGTTATCTGGAGGCCAGGAATTACACATGGGGTTTACTCCAAACAGTCCTAAGATCTTTATCTGATATTTAGTGCTGTGACATTAATGACGTATTTTAAAATCATGTAGTTAATAAAAACAGTTTGCAGACAATCCTGTGCATACAAGTTCAGTGATCTAGAAGGTATGTTGGCACCTACCTGGAGGCACATGTTCGTTCATGATGACGAGTGATGCTGGTGTAGGCCTTCTTTTCCTGATCTGTAACAGGTGTAAACCAAGGAGAGTCATTAGGGTCCATCGACTGCCCCGCACACAAAGCAAAGCAAAAAATCCATCTAGTGTTCTCCTGAGCATAGACCAGGCAAAGTTACAAAAGAAACTATTTGAAGAACAGCAGCACTTCACTGTCTTTCTGACAGTTTGTGTGGTCTGACAGTGATCCGGGTCATGCTCTTGCTTGTACGGGCAGAGCAAAGGCATGGGGAGAGCTTTCCAAAATACCTTTAGGATTTGTAATCATCTTGAGTTAAGTTTTTGGACATGTAGTGCTGACAAATATCAGTCATATCTTAAAATATTGACATTTAGCTTTGTGTCAGGAAGATGATTGCAGTAGTTTGTGAGCTTGTATGTGCAAATCCCTAGTGCTGTCATAGTTCTCACAAGTAATAATTAGTAATATTTTGCAAGTGCACTTCTCAGTTGATATTACAGGTATGCCTTGCAATGAATTTATATTTCTAAACTGTGACCAGAGGTGTTACTACTGTTCTTTAACTAAAAAACCTCCAGTATTTAAGACTTTCAAAAGAGTATTTCTGAAAAGCACTTTACAGCAGATCTTTACATACCGATATATAATCCTGAATTGTATGAAATTTTTCGTATTCAGAGTTTATCTGGGTAACTACTTTTGTTCCATTAACAGTGGCTGAACTGCATGGTATTGGACTACCCTCCTATAATGCACACATTTGCACTGAAAGCTTTTTGTTGTTTCACTAAAGCCTCCAGGCTTGATATTCTATTGAATTTAAGAGAGGGACCAAGAGTATTTAAGCTAGAAACCATTCTGACACGAAACCTCAATGTCAATGCATTTGTTCTTTTTTATTTGCTGATCCAACATCTGTATTTAGTTGGATTCAAATTTTGCTTTCAGAGGTGTAAGTGGAAAATTACATCAATCAGGGTTAATGGGTTTATTCCAGATTAACATAACTGTAGCTGACAGCAGAATTTACCATTTTAATTTCATCATACGGCCACAGTGAAACTGTATCACACTTGGAAATAAACTCACAACACACACACACACAAAAAAGGACTGCTCATAAATACCAGGCAGAATTTGGGCCATGGGAATTCCAGGAAATCCTAATCCTATGGTTCTCATAGATTTCAGAAAAATACCAAAACACATTCTGCTTGAATTCATTGCAGAACTGTTCAATAAAGCATGGACATTTTGTATCTCAGAAGTACCTATGGGCAAAATGAAGACCTGCAGCAATTCTCTTCTGCACCCTTCTAATATTTCTGCATTCAGTGGTCACTCAAAACTCATTGTTTTCTGGCAAAGGTGTCTTCCTTTTAAGAGACATGACATCAGAATATTCAGGAAACCAGATACCTGTCCTAAAGGTATAAAGAATTTCATAGCTAATGGAATGGAACAGTCAAGGTTATAATATTCCCCTGGTATCATCTAAAACTAGACTTACCCAAATAGAAGCAAATGCTGAGAATGAGTTGCACTGAGAGAAATGTATTGGGTCACCTAATTAGGATTTATCCCGTTTTTCTCACAAGACTCCCTGTGACTCTTTTTATGCACATCTATGCATATCTGTACACAGTAATAGCTATCATTTTCTCCTTAGATGTCTGTATTGCTACACATATATATATTATGTGTATGTTTTGGGAGTGAGTCAAAACCTAAAATAGCACATGCATCATTCCAGTGGACAAAAGTCAGGCATATTTCTATACGTGTATATTGTTCAAACATGTAAAACACTGTAAGAATGACATAAAGAAGACTATATAAAAATCATGAGATATATGGGAAGTAACTGAAGTGATGACTATAGTGTAAAACATAACTAGTATTTTCTCATGTAAAATAAATGGGAAATAAGATGTCTTCTACCCAATATTTCTGTTAGGTACCTATTATCAGCTTCATGTTTTGCTTTAGGTACAAATAATATACTTGATTTGTTGAGAATGTGTATTCCTGTGAAGTGTATGTATTAGGGTACAAGTGCAGTTACAGAAAAGCACAATAAATATATACTGAATAAACCTACCCAAGTTATAGAAGCCGTATTCTGGCTAGAGGACATATCCTTCTCCCTCTTTAGGTATACCTAGACATTGCTACAACCTCCAGAGCATTTAATCTACAGTTTCACTAATATAAGTTAGAAAACCATTTAGGCAACAAGTATTACATATTCTCACCCCACATCTTGTCCCCATTCCCACCCCCTTCCCTCAAAACAGTGAAAGAAACTTGTCTTCCTTACCTGCTCAGCTGCCTCGGGATCTATTTGACTCTGAAACAAGGGCACAGCAAACTGTATTTTTTTGGGACTGTTGGGCTCCATTGTGATGCTGAGGCGAGTCAGACGAGAGAAGAGCCTGGAGCTTGAGACTGGGTCTGCCCCTCTCCCCAGGCGCCCTCCCCACAGCCAGGCTGAGCGCTCTGCAGTAACAGCTGTAACTCCCGACTTAGCTCGGGAGTCTGCGTGAGTCGAGCAACTCCCTTATTCCACATCCACAGAGATGCCACTAGCTTGGCTATTTTCTTTTTTTTTCCCCCTCTCTCCTCTCTTCAGCAGTCCTTCAGATCCTCTCAGCAGAAAGCTGAAAGGAACAATAAGCTAATTGTGTACCAGCTCACTTCTACATATGCCAAGCATTCACTCAGAAGCTAATTGAAAATGCAATACTAGCATTGCATGGCCTGGAGCCCTGGGATTTGAAAAAGAGGATCTCTCCACCATATATTACTAACTGGCTGCTCAGAAGTGCAATGCAAGCTCCCTCTGAGTATTGCTGATGGGCTCTTAATTATTGATGAACACAAATCAGGAAGTTTTCAGATTTTGGGGGTGGAGGTAGCAGGAGGGGTGGATGCAATAATTCGATCTCTGTTACAGTATGCCAGAACTGCTCTCCTCTTCTCACGTATCAAACAATTGCCTTTGATCTTTCAAATCTTTTTTAAATCTTATAGGTTTAGAATCTTCTAAATCTTACAGGAAGATTTTTTGATGATGATGCTACGCAGATGCCCACACCTCCATGAAGCTTCTCTGGTGTGCTAAGAGGGTTTGCACCTCAGGCTGGGTTTGCAGATTTAGACTGTGATTTCTTTTGGTGAGCTTCATTTTGCATGACTCCAGATACTGAGAACATTCACATTTAAGCCAGTTGTCTCAGTTCCCTCATGCTAAGCATATCAATGGGCATTTAATTCTATCCTAGTTAAGCAGGATATAGTGTTTACTCGAGATTACACTTTTTCTCCACTAACTTTAGCAAAAGGAAAGATGATTCTAGTTATCTCACTTTTTGGTGGTTAAAATTCAGAGGCCAAATACTACTTCAGGGTACAAAATCTCTGCCTTCTTCCAAGACCAGAAAAATAATTTGGTCAATCATATCAATAGTAGTCTCTTGTGAATATAATTATTTTCACTTGTCATTTTGTGTTAATTCAAAAGAAGTGTGTGAAATGATACACAGCAACCACTGGCTTAACCTACCCCTTTGTAAAAGTCAGAGGAATTTGCAAATGTGTTCTTTCCTCAAGCCACTGAGAGCGCTAAGGATTTTCACAGCTCACCACAAGCTTATTCAGTCACTGAGTATTTTTCCACCTGTGCCAGCGAAGGAGGAAGGGAAAGAGCAAGAATCATGGATAAGAATAATGCTCTGGCCATACACAGCAGAAAAAAACAGCCAGTCAGGGATGGAATACTTGCTTGGCTTTGATTTTTACAGATGAAAACTGTGACACATTACTGGAACACCAGGGCATTTCTGAGCAGAGGTAAGCACACTAGGAAGTTGCTTTATGAAGGACCTGATAAAGATCAGGAGGTGAGGATACACTAAAAATGAAGGATCCAGTTGGCTCAGGGATCAAAAATAATTCTCAGTGAGGGCTGAAATTTCCCTCTTCATTCAAATCAAAACTGCAGGGGTTTCCAGCTGACAGCAAGTAGCTAGCAACTTTCCTGTTTGATTTCTTGTGATAGTTTTAGTTGGCATTAACTTAGAATTGTAGAATCACAGAAGAGTCTTCTTGGTGGGGGCCTTCTGGAGATACCTGGTCCCTACTGCTGCTAGAAGCAGAGCCCAAGATCAGGTTATTCTGGGCCCTCTCAGTCTGAGTCCCGAATATTTTCGGTGCTAGGGTGAAATGCTCACTTTCATTTACCAAAACAAAGGAAAGAGATGGACAGAATACTGATGTTCAGTGTTTTGTATGATCATTTTTAAGCCTTCATTACTCCCACAAAGACAAAACATAATTTGCTTTGTAGACTTCCACAGACAATTAGAGCCAAAGTGCAATTGCAGCAGTTCTGCTGGCACAACTAAGTCTAAGACACTGATGTTAGAGAGGCAGATGCTGCTTTCACTAAGGACAATTAGAGAGTTGTTTTCAGGACAGTCTAATTATCCAGTTTCACAAGTCCTTCATGAGCAGACATGCTGTTATCTTCAGAGACAGCTTCAGACATACCAGGGATATATACACACATACATACCAGGGATATATACATACATACAGGGTATACGGGGGGGGGGGGGGGGGGGAAGGACATAAACAGGGATCTGAAGTTGTGGCTTTCCTCTTGAATTTTCATACTTAAAAGAAAATTATTTTTGTTTTCTCAGTCTCAGATAATGTGAGAAAAATGTTTTCCAGCTGCTTTGCTACTATATATATTAATAAATGACATATTTTAAATGTCAAGTTTCTCTATAAAAAAAACTGTTTACCATCAAATATCTATTCTAGCTATCTCTGAAATGTCATGTATTAAATTGTGCAATTACAATTATAGTATATGTTACTGATTACAGGAGCTATAATTATTTCAAAGGTTTAAAGTTTCTTACTTTAATGATAAAATAGTTTGAAAAAAAAACATTCAGAGAGTGAAAATTTACTAAAATATTAAATGCTCAAAGGATTATAGTGGTGCATTTCAGCTCTAGATTGCTGGACTTTGCTATCTAATTATGTCTCAAATGCATTGCCATCAATGGTATATAAGGAAAAAGTTAAACAATCTTATGAAGAAACAAACCAACAAAACCACTTCCTGGCAGGTTCCAAAGGGAGCCAGAAAACAGGACAGAACAAGACATAAAGACAAATCCTTAATGGGGCTGCTATGTCTGGGAGAGAGGCCCACCAGCAATGTGATGTGGAGGTATTTGCTTCCTGCACCTCTCCTCTCTGTTCCTATTTGGAGCTGACTGCCCAACAATCTTCACATGCATTATAACAATAAAAGTATTTTTAAAATAGTATAAAAGGCACATTTCAGAGAGCACTCAGATACAGCATTACAGGATTACTACCTCGGCTCACTCTTACACCTAATTTGCTGCACTAGAAGTCTCCGGGCAAAGTGTGTTTGCATTTTCTATAGACTGCATCACAGTCTGGGGAAGAGCTGAAACACATTTAAGCACTGCCAAGTCCTTTTAGCTCATCTTCTGTTTTTAGTGCACTCCCCATAATGTTTCAAATGCCTTCATGATTCAGCTAAAACTATAATGGAATTAAAAATAATAACTGTGCAAGATCTTTCCTTCCTATGTCATTCACTAAGTTCTAGCATAAGGCACTGCCTTTTAATATATCCTACTGTAGTGATGAGCTATCAAAGCACTCACAGCATAGTTCCTGCTTGAGGTATTTCCTCTGTTGTCCTAGGAGAGGTTTATATCTTGTTTCCAGTCAAAGACAAGGCTGCTGAGATGGGAATTCAAGGGTGTCTGTCCTGCACTCTCCTTACACAATTTCTGTTGTGGCTGTGTTACCTCACCTTCTCTGGTGTGGTCAGGGATCTACTGCAGCATCACTCTTGAGAGGAGAGGAGACCTGGAGTTCATTGTAAAGCCAACATATTTAAGGATTTGACTCCTAATTTCACCAGGGCAGATGCAGAGAAGCATTAAGTTACAATACCCTGATTTACTAGGCTGCCTTTTCAGAGCAAGGATTCAGCTTGAAAGTGGCACTTCTTCCAGTACATCTCTTAGGATACAGCTTTAATCCCCCATTGTAGCCACTGATGTGAGAGTCCTAACAAAGATATGTTGACTTGTGCATTCCTTGGGTACCCCAGCTTTCCTGGGCAGCTCCAGCAGTACTGGGGGAGAAATGCTGCAGAGCACACTGGCTTTCTGTTGCAGCCAAAAGGACCTCAGTGTGCCACTTCCTTCTGCCTTTTTCTAATAAACTGAGTTTCTTCTCTGCCTTTGTCTGTACAGAAGCATCAGTTTTACAGCTCTTGGTGTTGATCATGATCTTGGTGTTGAGCAGAAGAGACATGTACATTGTCTTTGCTGTGCACACCATAACTCTTCATGGACCGGTTTTCCTGTTGGGGCTCTGCACTGTGCATTGCTCACAGGTGCTAAAATCAGATGCAAGCCTTCCAAGAACAAAAAATAAGATATTCAAAATGACCCTAAAATTTTCTGTTCAAACCAGCTAAATACAGACATTGCAAACAAGGTGACTCCCACTGAGCTGCTGGAAACACAGTCTGCTATTTATGCACAGAAAATGCAAAGAACTTAAAATCTGCAAGGGTGGGAGAACACAGAGCAGATCACATCTGCCTCATGAGTACTAAGTGCTGCCACAGGCAAGACAAAAAGAATAACAGAAAGTCTTGTCAAGCAGTGACCAAGTCAGTGGGACATTCAGTGAGAGCTGATGGCCTGATAATAGCCTAACTCAAATTTCCATCACCAGTTCTCATCCATAGAACATCAGGCTTGGACTTGTTAATGTACTAACTATATATGTGGATATGTAAAGCTTAGATAAGTAAAAAAATACAACTATTTTTATTTATACAATCTCTTTTGCTAAGATAATAATTTCTTAGCAGTAAGTTTTAATCAGAATCAGTTTAAAGCAACTTTATCCAAGCACATAAGAACTGATACTGTCTATTCCTGTCTTCCTCTGAAACTCACAGCTCTCCAGACTTTCAAGTAATGTACAAGCATTTACTGTAAGGTCCTATCCAGTACCATCAGTAGAATACATACTTCCAAAATATAGGAAATGAGTTGGATTAATGGAACATAATCTGATTAGATGGTTAAAAGATCCATGTGTAATATGGACTACAGTTCAATAGTGCAGAAACCAAAATTCTGGTACTAGTTTTAGGAAGGTATTTCAGTAGAAAGATATGCTAGAAATTGCTTCCTTACCAAGAGTAGGGTAAGTCTAATACATTTTTCAATAAACAGAAGTGCAGGCAGTGTATATAGGTTTTAGAATTAAATTATATTGTGTTATTTCCATATGAAATCTTTAATGCAAAAACTGACTACACAACTGAATTAAACAATTATATAAAATTAGTTGTTACTGTAATTTTTTTTTAAACAGAAGTTAAAATATAGAACACAGAGATGATGACAAAGGAATGAACTTTCACAGTTTCAGAGTCTGAGTTATAAAACTCCTGTGTGAACACACACCAGCGGTCTGAAAATGAAAAGTCATCAATTGGCTATAAAAGCTCAATATGCCAAATTCGGAACATGTTTTTAAAATTCTCATTTTTGATTTTGAGACTCTTCAGACGTGCCTTATTTCTAGCCTTCTCCTCCCCCTCTGAGGACATGCTAAACCTAAAGAAGTCACAGCAAACCTCAAGATCCTGCCTGCAGCATCTGAAAGGGAGGGACTGAGCCAGCTGGACGTGTATCCGTGGCACACCTGCAGGACAGTATCTGGGTTTTGGTGAACTGGAGAAGGTGGCTGAGGCACAGTTGTTTGTTATTTCCTATACAGGTGTTGTGTGCATCAGGAAAGGATTGCTCCACGAGTAAGACAAGCCAGGAGCCAAGGGCTACCACAGTTCACAGATTTCATAGGAAGCAGAACAGCTACTCACTCATTGAGGCAATTCTGGCTTTTCATCGTGCTGCTCTCTCATTGCTACCTTTTCATTACTTAATTGTTGTCCAGGCTTTCTCCTTTTATCCTGATGATGAAAGAAAAAAATGTTTCTGTGTATATTCACACATCACTTAGCAAGCATCTATGCAGAATCACCTATCCAAGCTATATCAAACTATCAAGTGATTTTAATTTTTTTAATCGTCTTGTCTTCTATTTTTACAACTTTTATAACAATATTGTGCATTTTTATTTTACATCATGAATATGAAGGATTACCATCACATCTAAAATCACATATGAAAAATCAAAGTAAATTTGCTTTATGTCAAATTACTGAGTTTCCTGAAAATCAAATCATGTATCATTTTTATATTATCATTTTAATTCAGAAGAAAGTGTTGCATTGGACTGAAACCATCTAATCAGCAATTATTCTTTTTTATGACATCACCCAAGTTTCAGAATTCTAGGTTTGTTCCCTATTGAAAAAATCCTCCAAACCAAAATTTTTCCAGTAGTTTAGGTATGGTTTTGATTTATACTGCTAGTCATGACTTGAACTACTTCAGTTTCCAAATTGGGCTCTTGCTCCTTCTCCCTAATCAGGATCTTCCTGTGGTCAGTCTCACTGAAACAGATTTACCTGTGGTATAACAGAATGAAAATGTTCTGACCTATGCTGTATTTCCAGTGTAAGCCATTTGCTCAGCAGTACACAAAATCCAAAGGCAGTACAAATGCTGCCCCTCAAGGCCAAGCAGAGCAGTACTTGTGAACATCGGTGACCGGACTGCATCAGCAAGGCTCTAAGTTGGCACCTTAAAAGAGATGGCAATCAGAGCAAACTGGTGCTGAGAAAATGCTCAGCTTGGAGCATCTTGGGCATCACCCACTTTCTAAATAAAGGCCGCCAAGGGCTTGCACACCACAGTTTTAGAGAAAGCAGAAGATACAGGGCAGCTTTCCCTCTGTGAAGGTCATGGTCAGCAAAAGTACCTGAAAGAGCTTCAAGATCATATCAATTCTTTTGGCAGAGGCAGGGTCACTTCCAGTCCTCTCCAAACAGTGTTGTAGAAACTACCAGCAGCAGGAGCCTCTCCTGCTTCATACTCACCCCTGGCCCTGCAGCTGGCTCTGTGGCCATCCTCAGTCCTTTCCTTTCCAGGTCTCAGACACAGGGTGCTGTGGGCGAGTGGTAGCAGTAACCCAAATGGTGTGGGGAGCTGCTCCCGTCTTTCCAGCTATTGCCTCCATCTGCTGAATGCTGAGATGCCTCCACATTTCAGCAGAGGTGATTTTTGTAGCTTTTCACTGCAACAGTGGGGGCTAGAAACATGCTTACTCACCTCAAAACCAACAGAAACAAACAAACAAATAAAAATCCTCCAAGAACTAGGCCCACAAACCTCTGCCTATTTGAGCTGTGCCACAGACATAGCTCTGCAGCAGGCTAAAGACCATTCTGTCTTGGTACTAACAGGGATGTAGCTGTAATCAACCCACAGAAAACAGCTAGCTCTCAGGATTTCAAAAATATGGCCCTTGGCTTTATATTAGAATCATAGAATCACAGAATCAGCCAACTGGATGCAGCATCGTTCACCACCACTCTCTGGTCCCAGCCATCCAGCCAGTTTTTAACCCAGCAAAGAGTACACCTGTCCAAGCTGTGGGCTGCTGGCTTCTCCAGGAGAATGCTGTGGGAGACAGCATCAAAGGCTGACTACATCCACAGTCTTTCCCTCGTCCATTAAGCAGGTCACCTGGTCCTAAAAAGAGATCATGTTGGTTAAGCAGAACCTACCTTTCCTAAATCCATGTGGGTTGGGTCTGATCCTCTGGTTGTCCCGTATGCGACGTGACTGCACTCGAGATGATCTGTTCCATAACATTCTCCACCACTGAGGTCAGGCTGACAGGCCCACAGTTCCCAGGATCCTCCTTCAGACCCCTCTTGTAGATGGGTGTCACACTGGCCAGTCTCCAGCTGTCTGGGACTTTTCTGCTTAACCAGAACTGATGATAAATGACGGAGAGTGGCGAGTGGCTTGGTAAGCTCCTCTGCCAGCTCCCTCAGTACCCTCGGGTGAATCCCATCCAGTCCCATAAACTCGACTGCCTATGGGGCTCAACAGGTCACTAAGTACTTTCTCCTGGATTGCAGTGGGTCTATTTTGCTCCCTGTCCTTGTCTACCAGCTCAGGGGGCTGGTTCTCTGAGGATTACTGGTCTTTCTGTTAAAGACTGAGGGAAAAAAGCCATTAAGTACCTTAGCTTTTTCCTCATCCTTGGTGAAAATGTTTCCCACTGAGTCTAATAAAGGATGGAGATTTTCCATTACTCTCCTTTCGTTGTTAATACATTTATAAAAACTTTTAACTATCTTTCACAGCAATGGCCAGATTGAGTTCTAGCTGAGACTTTGCCTTCTAATTTTCTCTCCACATGACCTAATGACAGCCTTGTACTCTCCTTGAGTTGCCTGCTCCTTCTTCCAAAGGTTCTCTTTTTTCCCCGAGTTCCAGTAAAAGTTCTCTGTTCAGCCAGATCTGTTTTCTTCCCTGTTGGCTTGTCTTTCTGCACATGAGGATGGCCTGCTCCTGCACTTTTAAGATTTCCTTTTTAAAGTATGTTCAGCCTTCCTGGACCCCTTTGTTATTAAGGACTGTTTCCCAAGGGACTATCTGAACCAGTGTCCTAGACAGGCCGAAGTCCATCCCCTGAAAGTCCAAGGTAGAGGTTTTGTTAAATCCCCCCTTCCCCTCTTTACTTCACCAAGAATCAAAAACTATATCATTTTGTGGTTGCTGTGCCCAAGACAGCCTTCGACCACCACATCTCTCATCAGCCCTTCTCTGTTTGTGAACAGCAGGTCT